CTCTCTACTTTACTTTCAGACAAGGTTTACATGTCCAAATGTTTTAAGAAAATTTATTGTGGGACATTTGCTATGTGGAAATCTGGGGAATAAAAGTTTATTTGGAAATGTAACATTGAAAAAAAGGATCAAATGGGAGTATCAGAATATGGATAATTATAAAAAAACCATGTATTACAGTTTAGGTTGGGGGGGTTCTATTGAGATAGAAGCATTTTCGCAATTATTTAACAAGAAAATTGTTGTATATGGTAAACGGTTTCATAAATACATAATTGTGGAAATGACAAATATGCATGATGCCAACATTAACCAGATCCACTGCTTAATGTACAAAGATTACCATTATAATCCCATTGTAAATCAAGTTACAATAGGTAAGTTCAATAAAATAGTTGGTTTTAATCTGTACTATCTTTATTTAATTTCTACAGATTCTGTTCAGGGTTAGATAACAGCCTTACAACTAACCTAAACTATTATAGTCAACAACATCAACTTTACAAATTTCTGTTAATGTTCCTTATGTATGTAAACAAGTTGTGGATTGTTAGGGAAAAACCAGTTTATAGTATTCCTAACAGTTTGTTAGATGCCATTTTGCTCAGTATTAATAATATATTTGTTTCTATAATCTGAAAAAACATTGATTACAATAAACATTTTCTTTATAAAACATGGGTTAGTCAAAAACCATTGTATCAAGCACAAACTTCGATGCTTAATATCTCTAATTCCAAGCCCACAATTTTTTTTAATTTTTGATATGTGTTTTAGTAATATGTTATAAGGCTATATTCAAAAAATAAAAAAAATCGTGGGCTTGGGTTTTGAGCTAGGGGTCAAAACGTAGAAAAAAACATCATTTTTTCCTATTTTACACCTCAAACATATAGTTTGCTTCAAAATTTCGAAATTTTGAATCCAATTTATTACTGTACACCTTCAAATTGTTCAATTTAAAAAAAAAAAAATTCAAAAAAACAGAAAAAAATTTTTAATTGTTAATTTTCTTTCTCCAATATCTCAGCCTACAGATGCCAGCAGATGAAAAGACTTTAGTAAATTATTAGTTAGGCATATATATACAAGTTGGCATACTCAACTAAAAAGGAACCCCCCTGTAACCCTTACCTAACCTAACCTTACCTAACCCTAACCTAACCCTAAACAAAATTTAGATCTGGAGAATATCCATTTTATATTCTTCAAAAAATTAGGGGTAATATTGAAAACAGAGTCATTGCTTTTAATATTTTTTTTCTAATTGTATGTTTTTAATTTTAGTTCTAGTCATTTTTCTTCTTTTCTATTTTCTTTTTAATAAATATTCTTTTAAAAAAAATTTACATTTCTTTTCAATTCACTTTACAACTTTCATTTACAATACTTCAATATATTCTCATTCCATTATTTATTTTACTTCAAATTTTATTCAACTTGCCATACATATTTCACTTTGAACACAAATATTTCCCTTTTAATTGTATCAATTTCTACCAATAGAATTAAGTTACTTTTGAACAGTATATTAAATGTCAGCCTATATGTAACACAAAGAACCAGTTTTGTTAATATTTGATGTACAGTTATCAAATTTGGCATACAGAATGATTGTGATATGTCGATCACAAATCTTTTTACAGAATTCAATTATCTTTTACGGTTCCAGAGTTATGGTGCCGTCAAATTTTGTCAACTTTTTTCTTATATAAGCCTATATATAATATTCGATGGGTGAAAACTAACTTTGTTAATATTTAGAGTAGAGCTTGGAAATTTGGTATATAGACTGATATTGGTATATCGATATCAAATCTTTTTTAAAAAATTAATAATTTTGTACAGTTCAAAAGTTATAGGAACGTAAACATTTTGGTGGATATTCAATGCACAATATTATATAGGAGTATAATATAACATTTGTTCTGTTTAAAAACTTTGTTTATCCAAGTTGAGACTTTTATCTTATTGCAAAGGTGTAGGAATGACATTCCAGAGATACCCCCACCCAACAAAAATATACCCAACCTTTACAGAATATGCTTATAATAGCTTATTGATTCAAATAAAGCATATTCTTTTAATAGTGTTTAATGCATCTAACAATAATTTTGGAAAATCTTTTGAGACTGTTTTTAAAAAACACATTTTAAATTATCCCTTACTTGGGAATTTAAAAATTACGGACCATAAAAAGCTGTATGATAGAATAAAAGGTCATTTTGAAACATTTCAAGAAAATGTAGATGCTGAAATACAAATGTACTATCAAGAACAAATTGATTTGAATCAATTTTTTTATCTGAAACCACTCCTGAAAACTGCTGAAAATTGGGGACAAATCCAAACAAGTATGAGATATACAATATATCAAGTGTTGAAAAGTAAACCAAATACCATGGAGGGGTCAGAACTTTTTCAATCAATAATTGATGAAATCAAAGACATATATTTTCGTCAATCCCAAGAAGAAGAGAGTGAAGAAAAAGAAGATCCATTAAATACAACTGTAGAAATTGAGAATCAGCAGCCAACTCAAACAACAAATTCTCAATCCTCAACTGCAGCATCATCTGTCTCAACTTTAAATGAAAATGAACATGTTAATATTGTTAAGAAAGCAAATGAAAGGTATTTTAACTTTGATAATAATAATCATGTAAATTTTAGAACTTACAATTTTGTACAAGAAGTTGCAAATATTTTTTCCAAAAAAGAACAAAGAAAAATTGTAAAAACATTCTGTCCAACAATGGATTTTAATACTGAAGTTGTAATTATATCTAAATATTTTAATGACATTAAAGTACAGGATTTTAAGAAAATTTTTGAAAAACATAATATGAAGAGTGTTCAATTTTTACTTTTTAAAAAATTATGTTTCAACAGTTTTCCATATTTACTGTCTGAGTGGCCTTTGCAGGATAAAAAAATTTTTATACTTTTGAAAGAATTTCCAAAAAAACTTAAATTTGAAATGGTAGAATTGGTAAAACTAAAGCCAAAAATATCAAATGATATATTCTTTTTAAAAGAATTCTTTCCTTCCCATATGGAAAATTACATTGGTTGGAATGGTTTCAAATTAATTGACTTTAATCCAAAAAAATATAACAAAGAGCAGACAATGCTTTTGAAATTTATAAAATATGTGTTTTTGGAAAAGAAATTGGTCTAGAAATAACAACTTTTATTCCTTTTATATTTGTAAATATGCTTTTAACTTTTTAACTGAAATTTTCTCTTTTTGTACATGTATTTCTATATATTTGTATATTTTCAACTATGTGCTTTTTTTCTATCTTTCTTATAATGCATTTTAATTTGCAATTTTTAAACAATTTTTTTTGTTTCTTATCATTTACTCTTTTATAAACTTTGTAAACATTTATTATTTCAATTATATTTCTCTATTTCTACTTTCATGTTTTTAATTTTAGTTTTAGTCATTTTTCTTTTCTATTTTATCTTTAAAATAACTGACTCATTCTGTCATTCATTTTGCTTCAAATTTGATGGAAATCGGCCCAGTAGTTGCTGAGATATGATTTTCTTTGAACGTTATATGTGCATATGTAAAACCAAAATATTCGACATACAAAAATACTAACTTTCTTATTATTTAAGCCACAGTTTTGAAATTTTGCACATAGACTAATTTCGGTATGCCGATCTCAAATCTTCAAACAGAATTCAATTATCTTTTATGGTTCTTGAGTTATGGCGCCGTCAACTTTTGTTGCTATATAGCATATATAAGCCTATATGCAATATTCGTTAGGGCTAAACTAACTCTGTAAATATTGAGAATAGAGCTCTGAAATTAACTGTATTTAGTAATTTGGGTACGCCGATCTCAAATCTTTTTACAGAATTCAATTATTTTTTTGCTATATAGCACATATAAGCTTATATGGAATATTCGTTAGGGTTAAACTAACCCTGTTAATATTTAGAATAGAGCTCTGAAGTTGTTTTCATATAGTAATTTGGATACACCGATTCCAAATCCATTTACAGAATTCAATTATCTTTCATGGTTCCAGAGTTATGGCACTATCAACATTCATTGCTATTGTATCATTCTGATGGATTTGCAGACTTCCCACAGAACTTTTATCAATGTTTATCCTCATCTCTTTTGACAAGTTTGTAGAAAGTACTCACAGTCAGGTTAATAATGACCAATAAAAAGGAAAGTTTTCAACAGAGTTTGGTTTACTGGTTTCATTTTCTCACATAGTTGTTGGCACCACATAATCTTATCTATAGATAATCAGGTTGTGACATGTTCTCACAGATTTTTCCACATATCTCATACACATATATTGTAAATATTTGTTCACATGGTTCATTTGCAGTTTGCAGATCAAGGAGTCAACATCACATTTAGTTAAATGTGCAACTGCTACAACTGCTTTTGAAAATCAACATCCTTCAATAATAAAATGAATAAAATGGTATGTACATTAAACTGTTAAACAGTATTACTATAAGTAGCAGTTTTAATATGATATATATTAATTAAAACCTGAAGAAGACAATTCCCTATTGGAATTCTGCAACCTCTCTGTAGGTGTAGGTTATTAGACCCTGATGAGTCCTTGGTATTCATTATAGAGAGGAGGACGAAACCGTGGTAGGTCGAATAGGTAGGAATAATTCAGAAAAAAATTTATTCTGTTGGAAATTGCTTGAAAAGTCGATTTTGGTGTATTTTTTCTTTGACTGCTTCCCAAAATCGAATGGGACTCTTGAAATGTGAGAATTCTGTTTCTCTTTTTTGACAAAATCAAAAAAAAAACTTTTACTAACCCTAACCCTTACCCTAACCCAGAATACTATGCCAATATTGCTTTTCCATAGAGGAATGGAATGTAACAATTTGGAGCATACACTATAAAGTGTGCGTTCTTTTAAGTAAATGCTCGCGAACAGTGTATGATAACTACCTAAATGTGTACATTTGTTAAAAAAGTTAAGAAAAACACAAGTAATTGATTGTGGAGCCATCTATGAGCAGAAAAAAACATTAAAAAACATACACAGTTGCTATGGTAAAGATTTGTTAGGTTTCATCATATCATCACTTGTTTTCAAATTTTTTGGGTGGCATTCTATTCCATAATATTTCTTTATAGTATTGAGTGAATGAGTTTCTAGTTCAGAACACAAGCATGTGTTTTAAGTAGAGAAAAATTAAAAAAAAAAGTCTACTACTATCTTCTCTTCTTTATTTTACAAATCTTTCTGTTTGCTTTTTCAACAAATATTTCAAATTTTTCTACATTATATCTATATTTACAATTGTTGATTTTGAAAATTCCATTCTATCCATAAATTTATCAAAAAGCTCTCCAATATGAGAAAAGCTATAACCGTCAGCAAGAGCACTTTCTTCAATGTCCCTAAATTGATGTTTTGTAAGCGATAGTGAAACGTTTTGGGCTGAAAAACATTGTGAAAGAAATTCTTGCAACCCTTCCACATCAGAAAAATTATGAACGTCACAATTTCCCAAATTAATTAACAAGAGTTGGCTTGCAAATTTATTTAATTTTGAACATACATTTGCAAGTTCTGAATCGAATCCCTCATGGCCTGATATATCTATTTTTTGCAAGCTTTCGCATTCGTCGAATAAATCTAATAAAGGCTCAAATTCCAAATAGGAAATGGCACAACGAGAAAAATCAATTGACAATAGCGAATGGGAAGAGCTTTTTAATCCATTACATATTATCTTGAATGCGTCATCTAAACCTCCATCATAGGATAGTTTGATTTCTTGAAGAGATTTACACTCACTTAGTAAACTACCCACATATTTATAATCCTCTTGCTCCAGACTACAATCACATAGATGGATAGATCGAAGACTTTTAGATGATAATTTTAAAGCCATGCATACTCTGTGAAAGTCTCTTCCAAAAGAACTGTCTGTCAGACTGATACTTCGCAAAGTATGACATTCTCGAAAAAAATCACATAAGATCTCAATATGTTTGTCACCTGCTGCATTACATAAACAAACTGATGAAATATATTTCGTTGATGATTTTAAGAAATTACAAATTGTTTTCAAATTTTCAACAGAATGGTTCAAATTCAAATTTCCAATTATATTATAAAAGAGTTGGTCATTGATGAGAAGTTGACGATTTAACGATTTGAACCTAACAGCCAGAAGAGTAATATCTATATTTTTTGGCACGTAGACTATTTTTATTGCCTTACATTCAAAAATCAAATTATTTAAACAGCTATTCTCACTGTCCACAGCTAGGATAGGAGCATTTGAAAAATCAATTTCAACAAGAGATCTGGCTGACAATGTTAGTCCATTGCAAATATTTTCAAAATCGTTTTGTAACAGATCAGCTTCTCTTCCTTCATGTTTATATTTTTGTAACGATGTACATTTCATGAGTAATTCACTTAGATGGAAAGCATTGTTTCCATCTATATCGCACGAACGCAAACTGAGCGATAAAAGAGTTTCAGACGATGATTCTAATCCGTTGCAGATTTTCTCAAACTCTTTATCAACTGACTGACCTATATCGGATAGTTGAATTTCTTGTAATTTTGTACATTCTGATAAAAAACTGCCTAGATGGCGATAAAGGCTTTTATCCAAATTTTTCAATGACACATCAATTGATAGAAGATTCCTTGATGGTGATTTTAATGCATTACACATTCTCTCAAAACCTTCTTGGTTCCAATGATTACCACTTAGCTTGATTTTACGAAGTAAACTACAGTGTGAAAGTAAACTAGACAAAGGATTATCATTTTCTTCGTCCTTGAAACAAGATGATATATCAATTGATAAAAGACTTGATGAAGACGATTCTAGTGCATTAAAAACTCCAATAAAATCACTTCCAAAATGTTCGTTATTAGATAAATTGATGTTTTTCAGGCAATTACATTTTACTAGTAAATCCGTCAACAAATCAAGGTGATGTTTCTCCTTCAAAGTGTTGCAAAGATTAAGATTTTTAAGAGAATGCGATGATTTTTTCAGTGAATTACACATTCTATTAAATTCTCTTCTGTTTATATCAATATTCTCCATACTATATTCTTGTAGACAAGTACATTCATTGAGTAAATCACTTAACAAAACAAATTGATATTCAGTGAAATGACAATTTGAGAGGTCAACACTTTGAAGTGTCTTAGCAGACGAATTTAGTCCATCAAATATGTGTAACCAACTATCAGCAATATCTTTATTACAACTGAAATCGATTGCTTGTAATGATTTACACCTTGTTAACAAATTGCCTAGTGTTAGACCTTCAACATCTGTTAAAAGGCAATTGGATAATGTTAATTTATGTAGAGATTCCGTGCACAATTCAAGTAATTTAAAACTACTACTAATCAGTTTAAGGCTTTTACTATCTTGTATATTGAGAGATCTTAGATTGCATATATCTACCTCAAAACAGCTACAATCAATAGAATCGCATCTTTTCAGTTCAAGATCTTGAAGAGAGTTACCAATCAGTAAATTACAAATTTTACAAAATCCTTCCAGTGCTAGAGACTCCAATGAATGATTATTAATAAATGTTGGAAAATTTTCATTTATTATCTGATGTCTCCTCAATAAAATATGTGTTAATGATAAGACATCAGGAGAGAAAAATTCCAAATCATCATCATCCAATTGTTTATATTCTTTATTAATGAAGTCAAAAATTTTATTTCCAACTTGTTGAGGTAGATATAATGATTGATTTTTGCATATTCTACTTATTAATTTCAAATTGTTACAGATGTAATTCAGCAAAATATTCTCCAAACAATTGGTTGCCATGCTTTTTATTCGTGGACTTCGTATTTTCGCATTTGGAATAGATTTTGATAATTAGCATGGATTTGATTGAATGCTGAAGATTTCTTCCTGTTTGAATTTATTTTTTAGTAATAAAAGCTTTCTGTGTAGTTTGTAAGAGTAGTTTACCTTCTATCCCTCTCTCTCTCTCTCTCTTTCTCCTTCCCATCTTCCCTCTCTGCAATGGACTATTTTTATAGAGTTTTTCCTCTCAGCTTTAGGACTTTCAATCAAATTTTTGGGTAGGAAATAAACAAAGTTGCTTGTTTTATCAACTGTTAACCAGAAATTAATAAGAAATTAAGCATTTTTTAAAATTGCACTTATTTGACAATAAAGCCATTTTTATAAAAATCTGAGTAATATTCAATTGTGGACAGTGATCAATATTTCTAGACAGGCGATTGATAAATCAATTCAAACACTTTCTGCACTCTTCCTAATATGCTCCTTCAATCTAACAAAGAGTTAGAAGTGTGAAGATGCCAAGTCAGGAGTGTAAGTGTCCAATTTTGCCTCTGTATGAAGCTCATAGTTTCACTGCTTGTTTGTAATCACACATTGTCATGTTGGAGAATAACATCCATTCCTTGTTGAACTCGGTTTATTCTTCTCTTTTGGTTCCAGAGGATTGGAATGTACTTCCAACTTCTCCAGCTTCCTCATAAACAATTGAAGTATTAAAGAAGAACTTCATTTGAGGAGTATTCCATCCTACTAGCTCGAATGTAACGTCACAATTATCAATTATCAATTCACCAAAGCACTTACTCAAATAAAACTGTTAAAGGTTTGTCCTGGTGAGGTTGTACAATGGTCATTGATTCATCACATTCAGTAAAACTTGTAGCAAACAAGCAATGAATTCCAACTGACAAAAATAGACATTTGTCAGCATAATGCTGTTCTTATTTACCACAAATTATTAATAATAATTGTTTGTGAAATGTTGTATGTTTTAGTGTCAAGGTTAGGGTTAGAGTAGAAACTAATTCCAATTCATCATCTAATATAGTATTGTGCTTTGAATACTGGTGAAAGTCACAACAATCTACAAACTCCAAATATAAATAGGATAGTGTACTGCTTCTGCTTGCTGACTTCTCTCTTAATATCAGTTTTGGGAGTGTGTGGAGATTTCATCCCAAATGTTTCTTGCTCAATTTCTAAGCTTATATATTGAAATTCTATGTTTAACTTGATACAAAATGATTGTTCAACTCCCAAATATCCTCTTTGATTTCAATTTTGATGGCCTCCCACACTTGCCTGAGCTTTCCACTTCAAAGTCATTATTAGTTCTGACAGTTTGATTGAAAACAGACCAAGTTTGAGGGGGCCAAAAGTTACTTTTAATCTAATTTTCCAAGCTAATCCAGTTCATTCTCTATGTTATTGAATTGATTTGCAATTAAATTACTTGGAAGTTATCCATATCTATTTTTAAACTCTGAGCTATAGCCGACATCATACAAATCTATAAAATATAATTAAACTGCATTTTCACATTATGATAGACCTTTGACAAGAACAACTGCAACAAATTATAGTAAACTGCAATGGTACAAAGAAAATCTCTGTAACCAACTTTTCAAATATAAAAAAAAAGTAGTTTTTCCTTTCTCTCAGTTTGCAACTGGAAAAACTTCTAGAAGCTTCTTGACTAATCCAAAAAACTGTGTCACCTATTTCCAGAATGCATTTGCTATGTGATAAAAAAGCTCCATTTTTCAAGTTTGGTCAACATTTGACAGTGCAGTAAGAGGATCAAAAGCACTCAGCAAAGTAGAGTTGTTGGAGGATGAATGAATGCTGGAGGTTACGAGCTTTCCATATCAGGTAATGCTCACCTCCTCTGCTGGCTGTAGCTGCTGTCTTTGGGTGTACTGGACATGGCTTTTCAAAGATGTCTGATTTGTCATCCCTGATTTGTTTAGCCTGATCTCATATATATGATACCTCTTGATAAGATTTTAATGCTCATAAATCACTTCAAGTCTTTCAAAAATTTCCTTAGAAGATAATCCCACCAATGTCTTAAATTTGATAGCTACACATTTTTCTTGACCAATGTCCATATTGAATGTAAATTATAGGATAATATGTTCAAAATAGTTGAAAGAATATTGTTCATAGTCCTTCCTTGCATAGAACTAACATCATTGATAAAGAAAGAGATCAAACTGTATAATAAGTTCTTACTGTTGCATCCTACTCAACTGTGGAATCTCCCAAACTGCAGATGGAGGTTATTCAACTATCCATTGGAACTTAGATCTCAGTGTCTAGTTCAATTATAAAACTATAACCCTCCTGTAACCCTAACCCTAAACATCTTAGTATATGTTTTCAAACAACAACTATTGACAGATGAAAGTTCCAATATTGAATTTTTAATAATGAGGCTTTTTACAAAGTTGTTCATAGAGTGAAAGTTTTTTTAGCTCAATTATTCATTATATTTATTTATGGTTAATTGGGTGCAGAGAATCTAATTGTGTAGAATTTTTGCTTTAATAGCAAACCTAATTTGATGAGGCAATTAGTGATAAATATAGATTTAGCCTAGATACCACTAATAAACTCATCACCACATCTTTCAAATTAATAAACCATACCATTCACGAAACAGGAAAGTCTCTTGTCAGAAGCTGCTGAACAAAGCATCTCTCTGCAAGAGGTTGAGAGACTGTGTCGCCCACATGTAGATATAGTAGAAAAATGGCGTCAAATACACGTTTTAATGGGAACCCAACCTTGTTCTATTACTCTTATAAATCTCTGATGGTGAGTAATTAGAATATTATAGGTTTTAGGCCTATAGATTTCTTAATAATTGTTATTCCACAAATTTTAGGGAAATTCTTAGCCATAACGATCTATATTTAGAATGAATCATAGAGGTTAATAACTTCAAAATATCAATAGCGTTTTGTCAATAGAAATACCTTTTTTATATTATCATCGTATTGTATAATAAAAAAAGTTAACACAGTCTGACAAAGACACAACAACTTTTCTGTATAGGCCCAAGAAAAATGATTCATATTGATCTTTTAAAATAGTCAAATATTCTATACGATTTTGTTTTTCTTGATTTCTGATTCTCTAAATTCAAGCATTAAAAATTATCTTTAAGTACACATCATACTTTTTACGAAATCGTTCAATAAGTCAAGTAATTTTTAGAATGAATTCGATTTTACACAGGTCTTGATCACTCACTCCACCCACCTTCTGTCATGGTCATGTGACCATTTTCTATACTACTTATTCTAACGATTAGAGCCTCTGGGAAGCATTGTACGAGAGGTAGAAAAGTAGAAATAAAAAAAAAACACAACAACTTATTAGAGGTAAGAATTAAAATTAAGGAAAAAAGATACATAAATATAACATAGATAAAGCGAAAGCTTTCAGAAATAGATCACACTATAATTAGGTCAACTGGTACTCTACAGACAGTAAAATAATACCCGTTTTCTATTTCATAGTCCTACATATATATGTATCAATATTTTGAGAACAACAGCATACATCTACACTATTTATATGTTAGATTACAAAAAATATTCAAATATACATTTTAATTAATATTTGACTTTCAATGACTTTGACACAAGTTCAGATTAACTCGAGAAATAAAAGTATGGCTGTTATCAAGACAAATATTCCTGGAATAGTCATCTATACAATTTTTATGCTGAGTAGTATCATTTCTACATCTGCAGGTATGCATATTTCTTTTTTTTTTTAAATATCTTATCTATTTCGGTATCTTTTCAAACATTATTTATGTTTTAGTTAAGTTCCAATCTCCTCCTACTTATGAAGCTTTTAAACTTGGAGAAAAGATAACTCTTACTTATAGTCTTAGTGGTATAGCATCCTAATATTAACAGTTACCATGTTTTCACCCAGTGGGTTTTTTTTCTAAATAGGTATAGCCAAACTCCAGTTGAAAAATCTGTACAACAATACTTCTGAACCAATGTATGAAACTCCAAATTTTGAACCAAAATTCCAGAATAGGTGGAAAGCGACACCTGCTGTAGAAAGTTCAAGTTATACCTTTACAGTAGATAATTCTGACAAAGTAAGTTGTGAATGATTCACAGTATCCTTGGGTGTTTTGTTTTCATATTACATTCGATTAATTGAAATGTTGATACTTAAAAATAATAGAATGATGGTATGCAAATTGAAGCTTCTGTTCCTGATGGTAGCAATGTTGAGTCTGTTAAAACTGGAATAGTCCTCTACGGTAACAACTTTATCCTTTACTAGTTAACATATTCACACTTTTTGTCCAAAAATATAGATTCAATTCCAAGAATCACAAAATATCCCCAAAATGTTTCTCCTGTAGAAGGTGAAAAATTCCCATTTGAATGTGAATTCAACTATTGGGGATCAGGACACTCTGAATTTTTAGTGTTTCTGAAAGACAAAAAGATGAACTTTAGGGATGTTCAAATTATATTTGTTGATGGATTGGCTACTTTTAAAAGCAATTTCATTGCTTCTAAGGAAATGAATGATAATAATATCTTTTGTCAAATGATTTTACATAGAACCATAGGAAAATCTTCTTTAAAGTTCAAGAGTCAACCTATAAAATTTCAAGTTCATTGTAAGCTTTAAAATAATTTAATTGACTGATTGCACAAATTTTGACAAAAGCCAAAAGTTGTATGATTTTTTTTTTATAGATAAAGTAGAGAACATAAAAATCACTTCTGAAAAAGATAATTCAACTACAAATGGTAAAACTGAAATTTCATGTTCAGCAGAAGGAAATCCAGCTCCAAAATGTGAATGGAGAAAAGTAATTAATAGATTTTCTATCTTTTTTTTTAAGCTAATAATGTTGACATTTTCTAGAAATCATCTGATAAAATTCTATCAACCAATCCCACAATGAAAATTGTAGAGTCTTCTGATGATGAGTACAAATGTACCGCCTGGAATGTGATTAAAGGGACAAAACATGAATTGACCAAAACTATATCTTTTTCATCTAGTGAGTTATTTCAGAAAGATACAATTGCTTACTTTCTATACAATTTCTGTTATATTTCCTTTAGATGGGGCATCGAGAATGGCAAAATTCAACATTAGTCTTATCTCTTTAATGTTTGTTTTACTATTAACAATTTTTAAAGTTGAGAATTGAAGATAAAGTCCCAGCCCTAACCCTAACCCTAAACAAACTATGCACATCTATTGAACACAAAGCTAAAATGTATTTCTAGTGTTTCATAAAATGTTCACTTTTATCTTATCAACTGTCTTTTTAATGTCTTTTTTAATAATATTTATTAATGTATAAATGTTAAAAAATGTACTTGAACTAAATCAATAAACGCATCGAATTGGTGGAACATGTGTTGTCTAGTGCGTAGTTAGAGCTATAGCTATATTTTATTTAAATCTGATTGGTTGTGATATTGTGAGTTGAGAGTTCATTGACATCACCTTGATAAGATAAATAATCGAATGTGAGGAGGTGAATGAATATGAGAGACAGGAAATTGTTATTAGATAGATAGATAGAGAGACAGAAAGAGAGAGAGAGACAGAGAGAGAGACAGAGAAAGAGAAAGAGCATGATTAGTCCCCATTTTGATATTTATGAATATTATTGTTTCTAACCCTCAGCAAATCATAAATGAACAATTTCAATATTAACCCTAACCTAAAATGTAAAATGTGTTAATTTTCATGAAGAATTTGTGGATATATGATAAAGGATCCTTATCTATCTATTTCTGTATTTATGTTGCCTAACCCTTAACTCAAACTCCAAACACAATAATAATAAGTTTGTAGAGACGATTGGAAACTTTTTAAAAAGATTGGAAGGTTAATTTATTTACCAATGGTAACCATGGTAACAATATTGATGGACAAACAACAAAAATGAAACATTTGAAAAAAAGAATTTCCTTTATGAAATGTCATTTGTATTATGAAGTAAAAATTTTTTCAAAGTCAACTTACTTGAGATCTATAGATTGAGTCTTTGGGCTGGCTGAGTGTAAGGCAGGGGGATTCCCCTTGAGGACTATTACACAATCCAAATTAGTTATATTCCTTATTTTGAAATTTTTCATTCAGATATTGAAATTTCCTGGT